TGTAATGGTCCCTTACTATATGAATTGCAGAGAGAGATTAGCAGCCTAACTCAAGGAACACTCTCAGTTGAAAGGTATTTCACTAAACTAAAGAAACTGTGGGATGAAATCACGTGTTTGATGCCTACTCCAGTTTGTACATGTGGAGCTGCAAATGAGGTTTCTGATTTAGCCTCATTCAACAAACTTATGCAATTTTTGATGGGGTTGAATGATACCTATGATAATATCAAAAATCAACTGTTGGTTATGGATCCTTTACCATCAGTAAATAAGGCATATTCCATGGTTTTGAGGCTTGAGAAACAAAGGGAGATACATGTGTTATTTCCAGAGATTAATGACAATTTAGCCATGATGGCAATGGGAAATAATGGCAGAAATAATGGTTCCATAAGAGGAAGAGGAAACTGGAATAACAGGTTTAATTCAGGAAGAGGAAGTAGTTACTTTGGAAGAAGACATAATAAGAGATTAAGTAATTTGGATAAAGAGGCATTAATCTGTTATTATTGCAGTGGAAATGGACACTCAAAGGAAACTTGTTTCAAACTGATTGGTTATCCGGATTGGTACAAAGGACTAAAGGAGCAAAGGGCTAAGGATTTTGGAGGTAGAAATATGATAAACAATGTGATGAATATGAGTGATTCACCACTTGATTTTGAAGAAAAGGCAACATCTCAGAAGGGTGAAACATCATCTGGGAATATCACCAACATAGTGCAGCAGGAATTGATTAAGATGCTTAGAGGAAATCTACTGGTCGACAATGGAAATCAGGTCAACTTTGCACATCTCAACAATTATTTTGGTATGTGTACTCAACATTTGGCTTTTAATTCGCTTGATGATTTAGCATGTAACACTTAGATAATTGATACTGGTGCCAGTACCCATTTATGCACTGATATTAGCCAAATGACTGATGTGAAACCTGTCACACAATCTACCGTTATTTGCCTACCTGATGGATCTATTAAAAATGTTAAACACACTGGATCCATCACCATTAATGGAAAACTCTTTTTAACCAATGTCTTACATATTCCCACTTTTAAATTCAACCTCTTATCAATTCCAAAATTGACTCAATCAGCTAATATTAAATTCACCTTTTACCCGACTTATTGCTCCCTACAGGACCTGAAGAATGACAGAACTCTAGTAATTGGAAAACTGAATGGGAAGTTGTATACATTGGATGATTTTAGTTTTCAGATTACTGACAATGAAAATTGTAATAGAGAGGTTAGTAGTTGTAATAAATTCTCGACCGGGACTCCTTTACCAGCTGATGATATTTTTTTTGTTAATAAAACTTCCTCTATTTCTCTCATTGATTGGCACAATAGGCTGGGACATGCCTCTTATCAGTATTTGCAGCATTTGGATTTCCTTAATCAATTTTGTAATGCTTCAGTCATCAAAAATTTACAACCCTGTGATACTTGTCACAAAGCCAAACAGAGCAGGCTCCCTTTTCAAAACTCTCAGATTCATACCACATCCACATTTGATCTGCTACACATTGACATTTGGGGTCCTTATAAACACTATACTCCTACAGGAACTCCTTATATGTTGACCATAGTGGATGATTATTCTAAAGCCACTTGGACCTTATTGATCCAAAAATCCCAGGCTATTAAAACTCTTGAATCATTCTTTAAAATGGTCCAGACACAATTCACAAAACATGTTAAAATCATAAGAACTGATAATGGAAGTGAGTTTACTGGTCATGAATGTCAAAATCTGCTTCAAGCCTAAGGAATTTTGCATCAAAAATCATGTGTTTACACCCCACAGCAAAATGGAGTGGTTGAGAGAAAACATAGACATCTGCTGAATATGGCCAGGTCTCTAATCTTTCAAGCCAGTCTGCCTACTTATTTTTGGTCTTACTCCATTCTCATGTCAACATACATTATAAATAGAATTCCTAGCCCTATCCTAAAGTGGAAAACTCCTTATGAGGTTTTATACGGAACAAAGCCTGATCTATCATACATGAGAACCTTTGGATGTCTCTGTTACATTACCAACACAAAACCTCACAAAGACAAGTTTGAATTAAAGGCTCACAGGTGTGTTTTCATTGGGTTTATCCCTGGACAGAAGGCCTATAAGGTATATGACACATCCAACAAACAGGTTCTTGTATCTAGAGATGTCATTTTTTATGAGAAATTTTTTCCTTTCAAACTTGAAGAACAGCCTGCCTCTTCAACACCTTTACCTATAGGACTACCACTTGAAGACTCTTCTACCACTTCATATATGTCTTCCTCAAATTCTCCTAACACAGTTCAAAATCATCAAGATTCTTCCCAGCATTACATACCTGATCTCACTCCTACTGCACAAGCATCAAACTCATCCAATTCTAATGCTGATGTTGTACCTATTATACCTGCACCTTTTGCTGAGGATAATATTACTGCAAATGATGATCTGGAAGAACCTAGATATAGTAATAGGATTAGAACTAGACATGCCTGGTTGGATGACTATATCACTAATGTAACTGAAAGTTCGGTGGAACCAATTGCTAGTGTTCAAGATACCTTCACAGCCATTAAATTCAGCTCACAGCATACTCCTACTACATTTTCATACTCTGTTTCTCCTAATTTACATCATGCATATATTTCTTTTTTGGCTAATGTATCAAGTATTCAAGAACCTCATACTTATCATCAAGCAAGTAAAGATCAGAATTGGATACATGCGATGAATAATGAATTGAGGGCCTTAGAGGAGAATCGCACATGGGAACTGACTTACTTGCCAGCTGGGAAGAAGGCCATAGGGTCTAAATGGGTGTATAAACTTAAACTTAAACTTGATGGAACAGTGGATAGATTCAAGGCATGGCTGGTAGCAAAATGGTATAATCAAATGGAGGGAGTTGATTTTTTTGAATGTTTCTCCCCTGTGGCAAAATTAGTGACGGTGCGAATTTTTCTTGTGGTGGCATCTGCAAAGGCTTGGCCTATTCACCAGCTCGACATAAATAATGCTTTTTTGCACGGATATCTTGATGAAGAGATATACATGGAACCACCAGCAGGATATAGCCAGGCTTTGGCAGGTCAAGTTTGCAGGTTAAAACGAAGCCTATACGGTTTGAAACAGGCTTCACACCAATGGAATATAGAGCTTTGTCATACACTTACTGGTTTTGGATTTGTTCAATCACCGCATGATTATTATTTTTTTGTGAAACATTCTCCTGATCGTAGCATTTTTCTTCTCATTTATGTAGACGACATTTTGATCACTGGTACACATGAATCGGATATTGCATCTGTTAAACAATTTTTGCATTCCAAGTTTACCATCAAAGACTTGGGGTATGCAAAGTATTTTTTGGGCCTTGAGATTGCTAGAGGAAAGGATGGCACTTATGTGAATCAAAGAAAACATATTTTGGATATAATCAAAGATGCTGGTCTCTCTGGTGCTAAACCAGTTGGTGTTTCCATTCCTAAAAGGAACTAAGCTCACCCAGAATGATGGACAATTATTTTCAGATCCTGCAAAGTATCGTAGACTGATTGGAAGGCTTCTTTACTTGAATCTAACACGGCCAGACCTTACTTATGGGATACAACAGTTGAGTCAATTTGTTAACTCTCCTTGCCAAATTCATTGGGAGACAGCCGTGCATCTATTGAAGTACTTAAAGGGTTGTCCCTCTAAAGGGCTGTTCTTTCCTATTCAGTCAATTTCCTCTTTAACAGCTTATTCTGATTCAGATTGGGCATCCTGTATTGATACTCGACGATCTCTCACTGGTTTTTGCATTTTCTTGGGTGATACTTTGATCTCCTGGAAGACTAAGAAGCAGAGCACCGTCTCAAGATCTACTGCAGAGGCGGAATACAGAAGTCTTGCTGCCACCGTCTGTGAACTTCGATGGATTAGCTATATACTGGCTGATTTTCAGATTCACCTTTCTCTACCTATTCCTTTGTGGTGTGATAACAAATCAGCTCTTCACATCACGGCGAACCCAGTTTTTCACGAACGTATGAAGCATTTGAAATTGATTGTCATCTTGTGCGGGATAAGTTCAAGGAAGGTTTTGTTCTTCCTCAGCATATCTCTTCTTCTCAACAACTTGCAGACATTTTTACCAAGGCCTTACCACCTCCTCAGTTTCAGTTTCTTCTCTCCAAGCTGGGTCTTGCTGATCTTCATCACTTGCCAGCTTGAGGGGGGATGAAGAATATTACAATTTTCTTTTATACTCTTTTCTTTTTTCCTTTACTCACGTGCTTTGCACATTTTCAGTTAGTTTGTTTTTCTTGCCTGAACATGTGTCCATTTATCATTGGTTAGTGCTTTATATATATATGTTTGAACATCTATGTTTGTATTCGGATTCTGGTGAAATACATTGAGAAATGCAGCTAGATTTTGCTGCACCAATCTTCTTTACAAAATTGAACATACAAGACAAAAGAAGAAATACCAAAAACCTGCATAAAAAATAAAAGAAATTCCAAGTCCAAGCTCATGCTTCCTAGAAGTATATGGACGTTGGACATTTTCACAAATGAACTCACAAAATCTCTGTTTGTATCTAAATTCCAAGCACCCATGACCGTATGAGAAACGTCTTTGAAGGACCCCACAAGCGTGTGAATTTTGAAAATAAATTTGCAAAAATACGGTCAGGCATACGACAAGGAGATTTTTTGTTTGCAAATACCATCCTAAGTACAAATATTAGCTGCATGAGAGAACGGCCAAAGTTAGAGCGCCCACCACCTCACCTTCCATCCCACACTTAGCAAAAAATGGCTTATTCAGCTAATCACTTGGTCTCTCCACCATATTTTTCCATGTAACTTCTCAATTACTCAGATGTAGACTGCCCATCTGTCATTTTCTAATTTTTGTTTAAACTCTAAAGCTGCCAGCCATAATTTCCTGCTCTTCTTGCAGAAGTGATCCAAAATTAGGTTTTTTTTTCTTTTTTTGTCAGAATGGAGCAAGCAAGGTATTGGATGTGGGGGAAGAGAAAAAGTGATTTGAGTTCACATGATTTTGCATCATATGGAGATTCTTGGGAAGAAAAAGCCTTTGCAGAAGATGCGGCTAGAGCTCTTGGAGGGTGTACATGGCCTCCAAGATCTTATTCTTGCAGTTTCTGTAGAAGAGAGTTCAGGTCGGCTCAAGCCCTAGGGGGTCATATGAATGTTCACAGGAGGGATAGAGCCAGATTGAAGCAGTCCTCAATTCCACAAGATGAAGATCTTCCTCATAATAATGTTGCTCTTCAATTTCCATCTCAAATATGTACCTTTCTGTACAACCCTAGTTCTGATTTTTCTGATCCTGAAGTCTTAGCTTCGCCTTCTTCACATATTAGGGTTTCAGCTCCACCTAGGAAGGCGAATTCTGATGAAGAGATACCCGTCCTTCGTTTCTTTTCTAAAAGACTAGAAGACTATCAGAAGCATATCGTTTCGTCCACTCCTGCATCCTGGCCTAGCTTAATAGCAGAGAAGGGTACTCATGTTTTGGATTTGTACAATGAAGAGAGAAAATCTAACACTTTGGAGCCAAATATTCCGGTTAAAGATTGTGCAACAGATGATTTGGCTGTTTATCGAACTCAAATGAACGAATCCAGTAGTGATGAGGAAGTTGCAGGTTGCAAGAGAAGGAGAATCGATTTGAGGCCGTTAACGTTTTTACAAAAATCAAGTCCTGTTGAGAGATGTCATCCCCAATTGGAAGTTCTTGAAGTGCGTTCTAGCACTATAGAGGAATTGGATCTCGAACTTAGGCTTGGCGATGCACCAAAGGTGAAGTAAACTGCATAATGGTAATCCCAACATAAATATGCAGACTACTTTTTTATCTGTTAATTTCAGCTGAGAGTTTATCTGCCTTGATTTCTCCTTGATTTTGATGATTTGAGATCAGCTCTTCTTCCTTGAACATGAATACCCTTTTATTTTCTCCCTTCCAAGTACTAGTCAAATTTGCAGTGTGTAATAGTAATTTTATACAGTTTGATAATCTTTACTTCATATACTTTAAAGAAGGCTTCAACATGAGAATAAATGATTAATGTTCTTGATCACAATATGGATAGACAGTTGAATCCCAGTCATTACTATTTTTCTCGACTCAATAAGGGATACGTCTGTTAATTACTCTCAGTGCAAGTGCAGTCATACCCACAAGAACATTTGGCCTAGGACTCTAATTAAACCTATTCAAGTCTAGATGGTATTTAGGAGATGCAGATCTTAGGTTTAAGGCTGTCTTTGAAGTCTAATTAAACCTATTCATGTCTAATAAGTGCTTATCCATATAGCTTAAAAAGTTGGTAAAAAGTTGAGTTCAAGTTAATAATTAATTTTAATCATGCATTTCATTAGACTTACAACTTTTATCAACTTTTGAACCACCATTTTAATCCATTCTCATTGAAATCTGCTAAAAAAAATTTTATCAAAAGCTTTATCAGAAAATCCATAAAAATCTTATTTCATTCGAGAATCGTAGGTCAAGGACTGTTGTGTTTCTGTTTTCTTTTCGCAATAGGTTGAGGATTGTTACACACACAAACACACGCACAGGCAGTGTGATGTTCAGAGTCTAAAAGAGGAATAATGACAAGATCAGCCAAGTTGGGTCTCGGAGTATGAAGAAACTGACTAAAAACTGAGCAACGTTTCACATAGATCTGTACTTTGCTAATATTATTGTTCATCTAAACTAATTCTAAACACAATTAAACAAGCACGGTTCAGTTTTCAAGAACACATAAGTCAGATGCAACATAACACTGATTCGCTTTTCTTTTGTACTCTCTGTCATCAGATCTACTGTAATAAATATATAGTGGATAAATCCATATATTCGTGTTCTGGTCTTTCACTTTTCTCTCTTTCTGAATCCTTCCAAAATTGCCACCAACTACAAGGAATCAATCCATTTAAGTATCATACACATACCCATTTTTATTCACAAAAAGAATATTATTGCATCATTGCATGGTTGTAGGTGTAAAAAACGCATCTTTTATTTGTTCCTCTCTGAGCATTTTAATTATACTTAATTTACATTCTCAGCATGAGAATTGATACAGAATATTATGGAGAATGCAGATAAGAAATAAAGAATAATCAGTAACACTCATCAAACCCTAACTAATAAGTTTAATTACTCTTAACATACTGAGTTTAATTTTCTAACTAAGCTTGTTGTAAACGCTTGTTTTGTAATGTGGTCTCTAGATTATTGAACGACATTAAGTTTGTGTTTGGCAATCATTTTTAGTAACTTTGAAGTTACGACTTCTGCTATTCTGTCAAAGTCAAAATTTAATTTTTAAACCCACACTCGAAATTAATACTCATTATTATAGACACATTTCGTAGTCTTCACCACTATTAAAAACGCATATAGTTGAGTGCAATATTGTATAGCAAACACATTCTTAGGTCTTATGCAATAAACTCGATGCTTGTTTCATAAAGCTTTTGTTTGCTAAAAAGTTAATCAAAAACCACATTTCGTTGAATCCACAATTTTTATCAACTTTTTCACTACACATTTTATTGGACCAACCGACTTTTATCAACATCACATAACTTTTTAACTCGATTTTGCATCTTTTGGAGTTGCAAAAAGGATTTAAAAACTCCTTTCGTATTACAATATTTCCTTCTTAAGTTAAGAGGCATATATGAATATTGTCATATATCCTCGATATATTTGAAGTTGAAAAAACATTAATTAGTATATTTCTCATATTTATTAATATATGTATGAATTATTCCTAGATATTGATATAGTGAAAACTACAAATTGAGTTGAGGGGTCAATTTATTTTCTCCAACAGTTTTCTTCCTTTTAATAATATGGGGATTTTGTTCTGTAACATTATTAATACATGTAAAGATACATGGCCACATTGGTTTTGTCTAAGTTCTATATTTATGTAAGAGAGATTTAAGGTGATTGGCCATTGTTTGTTTTGTTTAGGATTGTTGAGTTGAATAGGTCTGATCCAATGCAGAGAAGTAATTTAAGTGAAGTTTAAGAGAGAATTCACAGAAAGGCACATGGGAGTTATCAGAATTTCTACTCTATGTTCTTCTGAAGAGTTAATAAATAGAATTTTGTGAAAGGGATGGGAAGGCATTTCCAGCTAATGTGTTTTGCTGTTTTTAGAGCATATGACAATTCCAAGATATTCATTAAAGTTTGAAAATTACGGGAAAAACTATTAGTTCCAGAATATAGTGGGATTTTCAAAGCTGTTTATAATTGTATTGACAGCCTGGGTATTCTGAAATCAGTAGTGTATATTATTAATTATTAGAATAGACAAATCATAAAGAATTACTCTCACTACGTACCTTACGCCCACCCCTAATACAAACACATTCTTTGAGAATTAAATCATTTAATGTTATTAAAGAAGTCCAAAACTTTGTGAAAACAATAGTTTCTTCAATTCTAGTGATTTTATTCTTTAAGACGTTTATTCTTTCATCAACTGGTGATGGTTCCCAATCTATTTTGAACTTAGTTCATTAATTTGTTGTTGTTTGTTTATACTAGAGCTATTGCATCTTTTAACATACATTCTATATTTCAATACTAAAAAAAGTGTTGCTAGTTGAACCAATAATTCCAGTACGATTTTCGTGAAGAAAAAATACAACCTCAAAACAAGGGTTAATTACCCCAAACATTATTGAACTTTACCTAAAGTTTCCAGAAGGTCACTGAACTTAAAAAACAATGCCATTCATCATTGAGCTTTTGATACTGCTACCCCATCCATCATCGAATAGAAGTCCGTCAAAAAACTTAACTGAAATGATGATGTGGCTGACGGAGTGTATGACGTGGTCGTTTGTTTAAGTGATTTATGCCAAATCATATAAGTGCTAGTGACGTGTAAAATTGCAAACACATTTTTTTTATCTAAAAAAAAATTTTTTTTTAAACAAAAACCCAAAATCAAACCCCCGACCCGTTTTCCCCCAATTGTCAACAGTTTACCCATTTTCATTTTCCCCAAATTGAAACCTATAATCCTTCTCTCCCGTCGACGACAAGGTCNTGTGAGATCAGCTACTTACTTCACAAGTAAGAATGCCACACGCGATAGTCTATCCGTAATAACGATATCCGTATCTCGTTATTACCTCGACCACGGACGATTTAAGATTCAGTCATATGTAATTTGTATCTCACAATCACAACTCCTTGTGATTAACAAATCACCAAGACTTGAATCTACGGATTCTATTATTTAATTTATTAGAATATTAATTCAATTAAATAATAGATATTGTCATACATATGCATTGATTATATATATATTCAAAGTGTTTATGTCCAAAGTTGATTGGACCTAGGGCATAACACTTACAAAGTAGACAATTGTTGGAGAATTTTTTAAAGAATATCATTTTGGAGATTAAGAATTGAATCAAAGAAGGGTATTACACATCAGATATCGAGGGATTTTGAGAGAATCGGACTGGGATGAAGAATGTCATTTTGGTATGATGAAAAAAAATAGTATACACAAACATATTTTTATAAACCTAGATTGTGCACGCACCAACATGCTGGTGCACGGTTTTGCTGTTAAGGGATAAAAATCAAACATCAAATAAAGATGAAAGCATACACCAATTTATAAGGGTTTGGACTACTCCTCTTAATAAGGTTGACATTTTATGAAACCCTAAATCTTAACAAGGTATCAGAGTCCGTTAAGCTTCAAGAAAGAATTTGATCCGCTTAAAACTCAAAAAAATTGGACACGCGAATTTTAAGATTGATTTGTTCAAACGAGTCATCATTTTGAAGGTGCATGTTAGGGGAAAAAAATCTCACTTCGAATAAAAATGAAAACATATACCAATTTATAAGGGTTTGGACAACTCCTCTTAATAAGGTTGACATTTTAAGATGGAACCACAATTCTTAACATTTGCTAATTTTTTTATTTTTTAATATTCTCAGTTATTTTTTTATGTGGTTTTGATCCTAAAAGGTGCCTTATCATAGGGTTGCAACATTTTTATAGAGACGCTTGAGAATAAATAGATTCAACACCTTGGGTTCAATATCGTGAACAAAAATGTCACTTTTAAACATTTGGTACACAACCTTCTCACATATGTGTGGGTCCAATTGGATCCACACACATGTGAGAGGGTTGTATACCCATTGGATCCACACACATGTGAGAGGGTTGTGTGCCAAGGTGTGTAAGTTTAGCAAGGTTCATATGACGAAAGTATGAAATCCACTTAAATCTAATATACTTTTTAAGCATAGCCAAATAACCATTATTCACTTGAAATTTTGTAGGAATCACGTGTCTGTCGGATTGTAACAAGGTCGACCCCAATGTCGGTCCAAAGGTCATGTACATTGAAGGCTATGCTTGGTCCATGATTCATGTTTAGAAACTAAATTTGTTTTGGGCCCATCGTATTAATTTGGCCCAACCCTTATGACCCATTGACTACCCTACTTGCTAGATGCAAAATTTTAAAGAAAATGAAAGCACACAAACCTCACAAGACACGATTTATTAGAATGTATTTAAATGTATTTAAATTTTGAAATAAAATAATTTTGTCAAAATAGTCTGAAATTAATTCAATAGCAGACAAGACATACGAAAATTTGCTAGAAGCTACTTTGAGGATTTTATTTTTATTTATTTTTTTAAATAACAATATTTTAAGGGATAATTGCAGCAAAAGTCCCAAACATTTGAAACACTAACAGACTTTCTCCAAACCTTTGATTTGTTACAGTTCTC